GACAACAAATTAGAAATCATATGTACTATCATTACTAAGAGGATTTTTATTTGAGTCATCATAACAATTTGATCTCTCCTTTGCCTCATCCTATAGGGTCCAATACCTACAAATCTACTTATTTATTTATTTCAACCATCTTCCACTTTCATAAATGTTTTCATCAACATAAAATAAGAGTAATACTTAAATTTTTATAGGAGATGGTGGCGGTATGCGAATTTCAAGTGATCCCCGGCAGCGGCTATGACGGTGGTGGCTACGGCGAAGGCAGTGGGCTGGAGGTCGAGGTAGTTGAGAGAAAGTCAATAAGGCTTTGGAGCGTAAGAGGACATGATTTTTTTGGGACTTTTGTATAGGATTTAGCTAAATTTTAAATAAAAATATACATAAATTGAGCGAGGCCTATGCCTCATGCCAGTGAGGCTAGGCGCACCTCAAGGCGGGCCTCATCCAATATGAAGCGTAAGCCTCATAAAAAAAGCTCGAGGCGTAAGTCTTGAGACGTTTTTCACTGAAATTGCACTGAGGCGGGCCTCAAGGCTATCCTCATATTGCACAATTTTAAACATTGGATGCACATAAGTTTATAATTGCATTTTATTGGCAACTGTAAATTTTTTTTTATTTAATACTAAAAGCATTCTACTTGCAAGTGATGTTATAAGAAATATATTGAAGAATGATGTTCATATCCAGCTAATACAAAACTCTAAGCTTAGATAAAAAACTCAATAGCTATGCTTTAGTGGAAGAAATATTATCCAAAAATAAATAGAAGTAATACAATACTGTAAGCCTGGATAAAGACCCAAAAGCTACGCTGTCAGCTTCTTGATCCTTTGGAATAATTAGGGGTGTTAAAATGGATTAACGGGTCAAGTACGGGTTTGAGTCGAAATTAACTCGACTTGAATTCAATCAACTCAAACTCGAACCTTTTAATAAATGGGCCAAAATGGCAGACCCGAACTCGACCCGTTGAGAACTCATATGATGCAAATCTGACCTGATAACCCATTTTGATTTAAAAAATTTTTAAACTTGTCAACTATAAAGTTTAGCTTAATTGATTCAAAAATAAGAATATTATGCTAATAAGTAAAAGAATTTAAGGAAAAAATTATTTAATGGAGGTTAAAATTGGGTTTGTGGGTTGACCCAAATGTGAACCATTTAATAAACGAGTCAAAATTTTAGACTCGGAGTTGAACTATTTATTTAATGGGTCAACTTGAACCCGCATTTTTTGGATCAGGTTGATGGTTCGGATCATTTATTGACACCCCAAGGATTAATCATGAATGTTGAGTTTAAAGTAGTCCACTAGAGGATTATACCAAGAAACCTCTATAGCATTACACTTCCCCTTATTAGCCAAGGGGAAGCAAATGTGTTTTGCAAAGTTATTGACTCCCTTGAAATAGGTAGAGGTAATCAACTTAGAGTTAATTAAGTGATAATCTCCAATTTACTTTGATGTTATTGTGTTTAGCTATATTTCTAGACTTGCAAATAAAGCAACAAATAAGACATGGAAGAATATTAAATTTAACCCTAGAGGCTTTCGTTGGAAATGTTCACCATGTTAAGGTATCATGAACATATATCATCATTATCATTTAGGCTAATGTTAAAGTGAGCAAATTGACTCCATGCTTTTCTTGCTGGCTAATTAAGGAGGATAGCATGAGAAATCAATTAGATGCTCTGACAATAATAGCATTTAAATACTAAATGGATGCCAATTGTGACGTAGGATTATGAATGCTTTAAATGATGGATATAAGAATTTGCATGCTTTCAAGTAAGAGCAATAAGAATTTAAAACATTAGCCACTTAATAAAAATGGAAAACAAGAAAGGGGTGTCTTAGTTTAGACCAATTCACACAATAATAGTTAGGATCACAAAACAATTGTAAAATTCAACATAAGTAAATATAGAGGATTTTCAATAACATCCATAGATTAACAACAAGATTAGAGACATAGAAGTCCATCACTCATTCCCTACGTTTACAAAGCTTTGGTGGAGAACTTTGCAAGATTCTTTATGCTTGATATACAACCACAATCGAAGGAAAACGGGAGGAGAATGAGGAGGGGGAAAGAGTTCACCCTTGTCTTGGTGTGGCGATGATCTGCCACTGAACAGTGGAAAGTTGTTCTTCGATGGCATTTGAAAGAGTAAATATGATGCGCTCCACATATTCTTCGATGGAATTATCTACCTCTGGATTGACGTTGATGAAGGTTGATTGGAGGATGTCGACGACCAAGCCGGAGGCGCATTTAGGATCGGCCATGCATAAGATACGTGTCGTTGAAATACTGTGGATGATGCTCTTTGCTGTCCTTGAGGATTATCCTTAAGAGAAAGAAGTTTCTCCAAGGAAACCAAGTAGAAGAACAGATGGGAGGGTGGTCGGCCAAGTGGGAGGCTAGGGAGAGTTTAAATTCAGATTTTGGTGGAGTTAGGGTAGGGTTAGGGCCGGCTAGGTTAGAGAGGGAAGTGGGGAAATATGGTTTAGATTTTAAAGGTGGAGGATGGAGGGAAATAGGGTTTGAAGTTTGAATTCAAGTAAAGAGAAAGGGAGGGAAAATCAATCCCTAATGAGAGGCTTGATTGAAGTAATTAGAGGGAGGAGTTAATGTGGAGAGAGGGGAAGATTGGAGAGAGGGGGGGTGGGGTGGCGCTTGTAAAGGGGATTAGGGTTGGGGTGGGGTTTTAAGACTTGCCAAATCAAGCCCTTGTAGAAGAGGAAAGGAATTTTAATCATTTTCAATTTGAAATTTATTTGGCTTGGATTTGGGAGACTTTCCTAAAATAGATTGTCTAATTTAGGAAAGATTTCAAATTTGATTGATTAATTTGCAATCAAAGTTTTCCTTAATTGAATTTGGGTGGAAAAGGAAGGCATTGATGTGAGAATTTGAATTTTCTTGGAGCCAAAAGGGGATTGGGGACCGGGGTTAGGATTAGGGTTAGATGGGGGTGGGAATTAGGTGGAGTACCAAGCAATGGGTGAAACACCTTGGATAGCCGGCAGCTAGGAAGGGTGGGGAGGGCTGTGGCGGTTGGGGATTGGTTTAGGGTGAGAGGCCGGCGGCTAAGGGGGGTTTGCTTGGGAGGGCCGGCGGCTATGGGGGCTAGAAAACCCTAGGCCGACGGCTAGGAGGAGAGAAGAAAAGATGGGGAAGAAAGGAGCCACGAACCCGGACGCTTTCAAGGTTGGTGGGTGATCCGTTTACCTCTCATAGGGATTTCTCTCTAAAGCTCTCAAGCTCTCACAAAAACACAAAGTTGCAGAAATTTTCATTATAATTCTTCATTAACTTGAAAATAAACATAAGGGGCTTATAAATAGCCTCATACAATGAAAGAAACTAAAAGACAACATTGCCCCTAGGGCTTACATATGACCAGACCCTTAAGGATAAAAACGGAAAATACAAACAAATAAAACAAATACATATAATGAATAAAAAATAGATCAGTGCGATCTTGGCCTTAGATCGTCGGCCACGTCTCTGATATACTTTCCATGATCGGATGCCCCCATCAAATTGCTTGCATAATCCTATACATAATATCAAAAACTATTCTGCGCATGAAACAAGAGAGGTAGATAGTGATGGCCTTATTCTAAAAGGTATTCAAGGTGTTACTGCAATAGGATTGTTCAATACTTTTCCACATAGTATATAGATATGATATTATTAACCTATTCAAGTGGTAGAGCATAAAAATGTAAATATATCTTTTATTCATCATTTTTGAAGAAATGATAACCTTTAAGAGGTCACAAACTCTATGCATATCCACGAACTTGAAAGGATCAACCCTACCTATCTTACCAAATCAAATGTTCCCTTTTCCTAAACCCCAATAGATGCATTCTCAGCTTAGTCTTTAATACCACAAAGTCTACTTCAAAGTAGCGATCAATAATCTTCTTCCTAACTAGACTCGGGTGTATGGTAATGCAATATTTTGTAAGGAGAAATTAAGACCCAATAGAATCATTTAGTCTAAATTTCCACCACCATTTATGATTTATGACTTCCGTCAAGTTAATGTGTATGTATGAGGGCATGTGTGTGTGTATAGGGTAGAATAATGTCCTTTTATGCAATAAATAAATAAATAAGTCAGCCTCCACACAATGATTTCTAATGTTACTGCCTTCAAATGTAACATCAAAGTTATTGGTTTTGTATTACCTATCAATAACTTCTTGATCTAACTACATTTTTTTTTTGAATATTTATCCTTTGATCATATTTGATGAAGAAGGGATGATATCCTTAAATAAAAATGCTATTTTTCACTGAACATTTTTGAAATAAGATCCATTGGAAATTATTCTTGGTGTCCTTAAACAAATTTATTGAACTTTTGTATACATGAAATGGCGGACAACAATATAAAGTGAGAGGGGTGAAAGTGTATATTCTCCACTTAGGTGGGGAATGCTTTTATAGTTTCATAGTTACAGGAGGGTTTATGGTCGAAGCTCCACTATTGCATCTACAATAGGATCAATCTGAAGGCTGTTCACTTGCAATCCTATGTATAAATGTTCGTGGCAACAAGAGTTTCATGGATCACGCGACATCAGATATTAAGCCGTGTAGTGACAAATAAACATTGTTTTGGTGGAAAAAGCTTTTATTTTTAAATACTTTAGTTCAATACAAAGTTAATATTACAACTTGGGGCCTCAAAGTCCTGTTTGGGAAATATGTGAACTTGTGTCCTTTCCAGATGTAAATTTGAAGATCTTAATTGAACGTTTTTATACCTGATGCAATAAGTTGTGCGTCAAACTGCTTGACCGCCTGTTTATGAATGCTTTCATCTCGATGTAATCGCTATATTATTTGGAATAACTTAACATGTATTGCGATGCTAGTCCTTTCTCACAGTATACTTGTGGTGGTCGACCTCTTCTGACATTGGTTTACTTTCTATGCCGAATTGATGAAACCTGACAGATACTATGACGTATTCCTAAAGAATTACCAGGAGCTTGCTAAGGAACAGAAGTGGAAGCAACCTCTCCTAAGTTTGTGCCATTTCTCTACTAATAATGCCTTTTTCATAGAAGTTCCTTTTCATATCTCACCATCTGTTTGTTATGCTGCTGCATTATTTATATCGTTGCTTATTGCATGTTTTAAGTTAGGTGCGTTCCAAAAAGTAACTTATAAAATGTCTCGTTTTGTATACTGTCCTGATTTCTTTTAAGTGCCAAATTGTAGCTTAAGCATGATTCACTTGGGGCTTGACGAGGTTGAGATGTTATGGAATTTCTGTGGATTGACTTAGCTTAACTTGTGAGGTAGCTCTTTCATAAGTTTCCTTGCTGGCTGTTTGTGGGATCAAATGATGGTTGGAGAAAGGCTATTATTTGTCTCTTTCCCTGTGTGGAAGCACTATGGGAAGTGCTTGATGCCTAACAAGCTAATTCAGGAAGATCTTAAGATCTTTTTAGGAGTTTTCAAGTCATCAACATGTCCACCAGCAACTCTGGAATAACTCAAGCAAATCTAGTGCAGGAAACTAGCCAAGGGGAGTGGTATTAAAATGTTTTGCTTTAATAGCAGCTTTTGGAGAAGAATCATACCTAAATTAAAATGGTCCCCAAACATTAATGGGTAAAAAATCGGAGTATTACAAGGTTTATTTTTTTAATCACTTGCCTATATTTAGAGTCTGTATTCATTTTCTAAGTTTTTTTGGAGTCGATCTTATTCTAGGAATTAGTTGCTAAGTTGATACTATTTTGTTGAGCAGTTACTAATTTGATGTAGAAAGTTGCTAGATTCTTGAGTTGTTGGTACTTTTTAGTTATATTCTTATTTGTATATTTTGACTCATAATTGGAACTTTTTTAGGTTATTCATTCTTTATTTTATTAGTAGGGACCTTTGTAGGATCATTGTAATCAAGCCAATACAGTAATATTTTAATTCCCTAGATTTTGCCTCAATTTTTTGCCACCAATTCCCAATTCAATTCTCTTTTTCCACCCCATACATCTTGCACTAGCTGACCTTAATTGTCAGCATTGATCTTCATTTTTAGTGGTCAAGGAGTCTCCAATACTCATCCTAATGCAGTTACAGTAGTGTCCAACCACTGTATTTGAGTGGGAGCTATGAAATTGGTCATTGTTTTTAGGTGAAATTAGAGAAGAATTGTTGAAATTAAAAATAATAATAATAACAATAATAATTCGGTATTTTTTTGTATTGCTCGGTATAGCTCGGTATAACTCGGTATTGGTCTTCACATGATGATATTCCTCGTTATTATCGAATAATACGTAGCAATACCGAGCAAAAACTGAGTTTTTTGGCGGTGGGAGGACGTATCTCTACGTCAGGTGGGAGGACGCAATAAAAATTCCGTTGTCTCCTTGCCTCCTAGCATGATCTCACCTATGCATGATTCAATCGCCTACTATCAGTCACCTACTATCCGTGAGTATACAAGGATATGTTTGTCTGCTTCCGGCCGATTGTTGTCTCGACTCCTATTTAATGGCCCGTGAGTTAATAGATTGGTCGTTGTAAAAATAATAACAAATATATAAAATTGTAAAGAAATAGGTGTCATTAATTTTAAGACTTTGGGTCATTGTATCTTTGATTCAGGCAGATAATTTAAAGACTCTCCGTAGTTGTATATTTGATCCTAGCGGGATGATTTTTAAGTTGAAGACCTTGTGCCATTTTATCTTTGACCCGGGAAAAAAGACTAACGGCAAGTGTCATCCCAACCTCTTTTCGTGGGGAGGGGACACCTTTAGGCTGTCTAATTTTCTAAAAAATGATGATTTTTGAAAAGTCAATTGTAGAATATAAAAAAGAGAAGAAAGGGGGGAGAACCACTCTGTTAAATTACACATTTTTAAAGAGTGGGCTTAAATTTTATTTAAAAGTGGATTTAATTAATTCATTAGTTAATTTAAAAATACAATAAATAAATATCTCTTTTAATTAATTAATTAATTAAATGCAATAAATCAAATCATATGGTTTAGGTGTGATTCAGGTAGGAGTCATATTAGAAATGGTATATGCGTGATTATAGATAAGAATTTGAAGGTTAATGTTATAAAATTAATAGAATTGAAGATAGAATTATAGCTTTAAAGATTGTTGTTCATGCTATGATTGTTAATATTATAAGTGCTATACTCCTCAAGTAGGTTTAGATATATGTTCAAAATTAAAATTTTATAATAACTTAAAAGAATTAATACAATAAATACCGCCTGGAAAAAAAAAATTATTGGAAGAGATTTAAATGGACATGTTGGTAGTGAGGTAAATGATTTAAAAATATTCATGGTGACCATGAGTTTGGAACGACAAATGAAAGTAGTAAGATCATATTAGATTTTTCTTTAGCTTATGATTTTTAAATTGCTAAAACCTTATTTAAGAAAAGAGATGAACACCTCATTACTTATAAAAATAGATATAATAAAACTCAAATAAATTATTTTTCTTATAAGAAAATTATATCGTTTAGATTGCAAAGATTGTAAAGTTATCCTGAGTGAAAATTTATGTATCCAACATCGATTATTAGTTTTGGACTTTAAGATAAGGTCAAAAAATAAAAAATAAAGTAAAACGTCATTCTAGGATTAGATTGGGGCATTTAAAGAATATTAATATAAATATTTTTTAGAGTAGGATTTTATCTGTGCATAAGGATGCTAATATTATGTAGGAAAAATTGACTAGTGATATTAAGAATATTGCAAAAGATGTGCTTAGAGTATTGAAGGGAAAAACTGCTAATATTAAAATTAATTGGTGGTGGAATCCAAATGTGAAAGAAAAGATAAAAAAATAAGAAGATTTATTATAAAAAATGGTTTAGATGTAAAAATTCTGATAATTAGGAAATATATAAAGAAATACGTAAGGAATCTAAGAAAGCAATAAGTGATGCAAAAATCTTAGCCTTTAAAGATTTATATAATATATTATATACTAAAGAGGGACAAAGATATATGTATAAGTTTGTCAAACAAAGAGATAGGAGTAGTAGGGATTTAGTTCAAGTGAAGTGTATTAAGGATGAATATCAAAAAATACTTTTCTTATAAGATGATATTCAACAAAGGTGGATGAAATATTTCGCTAAACTTTTTAATTAAGAATGTGAAAATACAATTGACTTAAGTGACCTTAGCACTATAAATGAGCATAAAGATTTATGTTTTTATTGACATGTTAGTAAAATCAAAGTTTGAGAGGCCTTAAAGAAAATGAAGTGTGGAAAAAGCTATTGGACCTGATGCTATTCGAATAGAGGTGTGAAAATGCTTAGGAGATGAAGGAATTTCTTGACTTGCTAAACTTTTTAATACTGTTTTTAAGACTAAAATGATGTCAGATGAGTGGAGAATATCTGTGTTAATTCCTATTTTTAATAATAAAGGAGATGCACAAGATTGTGTGACTTACAGAGGAATTAAGTTAATGTGTCATACTTTAAAACTATGAGAGCGAGTTATGGAGCATAGGTTGCGGCGTGATATTAATGTTTCTCAAATTCAAATTGGATTCATGTCGGGTAGGTCTACTATGGAAGCCATGCATTTTTTGAGAGGTTTGATGGAGAAATATAGAGAGAATAAGGAGGATCTACATATGATATTTATTAATTTAGAGAAAGCATATGATAAAGTTTCAAGAGAAGTGTTATAGAGAGTTTTTGAAAATAAAAGAGTTAATAACGCTTATATTCAAATCATTAAAGATATGTATTCAGGAGTTATTACTTGTGTTCAAACACAAGGTGGTTTGACCAAGTATTTTCCTATTTCAATTGGATTACATCAAGGATCAACCTTAAGCCCATATCTTTTTGCTTTAGTCATGGATATTCTCACTAGACATTTGCAAGAGGATGTACCTCGGTGTATGCTTTTTGCTGATGATATTCTTCTTGTTGATAAGACTAGAGAGGGAGTTGAAGGTAAACTTAAATTATGGAAATCAGCATTATAGTCTAAAAGTTTTCGCTTGAGTATATATAAAATTGAATATATTGAGTGTAATTTTAATAGTAATAGACCTAGTGAGGGGATTACGACTTTGGACGATCAAGTCATTAATAAGATACACATTTTGGATCTATTGTTCAGAGTGATGGTGAAATAGAAGGGGATATTATCAGCAGAATTCAAGTTGGATGGTTTAAGTTAAGGAATGCATCAGCTTGTTGTGTGATAGAAAAGTCCCCCTCAAACTTAAGAGAAAGTTCTATAAGATGGTGGTGAGACCTACAATGTTTTATGGTACCGAATGTTGGCCATTAAAAGAGAAGCATAATACTAAGTTGTGGGCTCCGAAAATTCGGCCCCGGCCTTCGCTCGCTTTTTCTTTTATTCGGCGAGGGAGTTTTAACTGAATACGTTCCGAGGTAAATTTTGGAAGGCATATGGGTTTGTAGATAAGACACTACCCAGAGATTTCACCCTCATTTTGTGAGGACTTTATGATCTGAGTTCTGGTTTCCTATAGGCACAAGCCCCTATAGTTAATTACCCCTCCCGGTCACGAGAGAGAACTTTCGATTAAGGCTAATCGTCAATCAGATACATATAGAATACGTGTTATCTGGCATATAGTAGCAGCATGGATTTGAGATTAGAGAACTAGATTTGGATTTGGGATTTGAGTTGGAGAATTTGGGTATTTGGAAAGGTTTGAAAAGTTTGATATTTAAAATAGAAAATTTCACCATCTTTCACTTAAAGAGGATGGTGGGGGAATGGATGATAGACCCGATCAAGATTCCATGGTTCCGTCGTCCCGGGCCATCGTGGTCCCTGGTCTACTTAGTCAGAGGAGGTAGTCGACCCAACCTGACAGAAGGATCCTTGTCGGCAGCCATGGGTTGCTTCGTCCAAGGGGACCTTGTAGACCTGGGGTGAATGTTTGTCTAAGGGGACAAATTTAAATCCACCTTAGCTAACAAAGGGCTTTGTGCCCTGTCGATCATATCCTATTGATTCATATCTCAAGGATTTAATGCCATTAAGGAGCGTATTGGCTCTGGCCATAACCGCTATCTGTGGTGCCATTTGGCGGCAAAACCACTCGGTTCAGAGAGCCCCGGGTCATAACCGTTTACCTGCAGTGCCATTTGGCGGTGAAACTGCCGGTTAGAGGACATGTACCACGTCCTTACTGGCAAGAGATTGTTTGAGAATGGATCCTAGTGATATTTTCGACTAAGCATTTGGCTCTTTGTGAGCTAGAGTTTATTTGAATTTGTTCACCCCGGCAGACTGTTGCGGAGGGTGAATGAATTTTGCTTTAAGCATTGATGGATTTATTTCAATTTTAAATATTTTTGGGATTTTAGGATTTTGAGATTTTTTGAATTTTGGACTTTGTGGAGCTTTGGATGGCATTGGAAATTATTTGTGAACCCCTCCGGTTGAGATAAACAATCAACACGGCCATCGTCGGGGTGTTTGGGGTCATTTCTCTTTTGTTGATTGAACCCTGTCAACTCGATTAAGCTATTAATCGAGGATCGGATTTCGTAGGCTTTATGCCCTTGATAGTGAATTCTCATTATTATAGGCCTAATATGAATGTATTAAGACAAATATGACGGTTGCCACCACCGTATATTTGTTTGTTGGTTTAAACCATGTCGACTTCTATTGACCCGTATAGAAGGATCGGTTTCGAACTTGAATTCACTTGTCAGCCCGCGCAGCATCCCTAGACGTCACGTGTGTGCCAATAACACACTCGTCGGGGCCCATGCGGGTGTTTGGGGGTATTTTATAATTGAACCCTGTCCACTCCTTTTATCTGCTTAGGAGGATCGGGTTCAAATTTAATAACCCGCACATCATCCCTAGACGTCACGTGTGAACCAATAACACGCTCGCCGAGGCCCATGCGGGTTCTATGATTGTTTTTACCTCTTTTAGTGTACCTATGTGTATACAAGGTACAGTGTATGTGTAGGGGTATTTTTGAAATATTTATAGACGCCTTCTGTCCGCTAATATGAATGTTGCGGATCCGGTGGCGTGACGTTGTAGTTGTGGACGCCTTCTGTCTGCTTGTACGAATGTTGCAGATCCGATGGCATTGCGTTTTGATGTTGACTCCCCCTTTCTCATTCACCGGGGAAGGTTTCTTTGAAATTCATGGCTGCCTCTTTGAAAGGGACTCTTTTTAGGATCCTCAATGTAGTGAACTTGTTATTGCCGGTATTTGTGGACACCAGAACTTTTTTCTTCTTAAGCATAGAACTAAAAAGAGACTTCGGAACACCATGAAGTTTAGTTCTAATTCGTTCAAATATTTATTTCATTTTGTAAGGAGGTGTCTCTTTTTTGTATGCCGGGTTACCCAAGTACCTGATGTACTTTTAGATCTTGGTCATTGTCGTCATGGGTGATACTTATACTTATGTCCACAGTGGTTCGATGCACCTACGATGTATCCACTGTTGTTATCCACAAGTATTCATTTGCAGGGGACCACTGTATCAACTACGACTTCCTGGAAGTATTTGTAGAGGATCCATTGTTGACAACATTATACCCACCTTTCACCAATCTCAGGTGGTTTGATGGTTACATTTATTGTGGTGATGGGTCTTCCGCCATAAATTAACAGCTTTGCCTTCTTTAATCAACATGCAGTCTTGTAAGGAGCATCATTTTTTGTGTGTTATACATCTCCATTTGTAAGAAGGCGATGTATCTGTCTGCCATTGAAGAGTTGTTGACTGCGGGAATGAAGACAATGGCCCTTGTGATATCATTGAGCTTGTACTGTTGCTTATGAGTGAACCAATAATTTATTTCTATTTGGGATTTTAACGAATGTCCTTCCTCCATTCATTGATCTCCACTAGCATAATCAAAATTTGATGAATGATATTAAGATAATTATATATCCATTTAAAATTGATTATCTAGTTATGGTTCAGATCTGAGTTCATGTCCACTATGCTTGATCTACTTTTCTTATAAGATGATATACAACAAAGGTGGATGAAATATTTTGCTAAATTTTTTAATGAAGAATGTGAAAATACAATTGACTTTAGTGGCCTTAGCACCATAAATGAGCATAAAGATTTATGTTTTTATCGGCGTGTTAGTAAAATCAAAGTTAGAGAGGCCTTAAAGAAAATGAAGTGTGGAAAAGCTATTGGACTTTATGATATTCCAATAGAGGTGTGAAAATGCTTAGGAGATGAAGAAATTTCTTGACTTGCTAAACTTTTTAATACGGTTTTTAAGACTAGAAAGATGTCAGATGAGTGGAGAATATCTGTGTTAATTCATATTTTTAATAATAAAGGAGATGCACAAGATTGTGTGAATTATAGAAGAATTAAGTTAATATGTCATACTTTAAAATTATGGGAGCGAGTTATGGAGCTTAGGTTGCGGCGTGATATTAATGTTTCTCGAAATAAATTTGGATTCAATCGGGTAGGTCTACTATGGAAGCCATGCATTTTTTGAGAGGTTTGATGGAGAAATATAGAGAGAATAAGGAGGATCTACATATGATATTTATTAATTTAGAGAAAGCATATGATAAAGTTTCAAGAGAAGTGTTATAGAGAGTTCTTGAAAATAAAGGAGTTAATAACGCTTATATTCAAATCATTAAAGATATGTATGTATGAGTTATTACTTGTGTTCAAACACAAGGTGGTTTGACCAAGTATTTTCCTATTTCAGTTGGATTACATCAAGGATCAACCTTAAGCCCATATCTTTTTGCTTTAGTCATGGATATTCTCACTAGACATTTAATTGCAAGAGGATGTACTTCAGTGTATGCTTTCTGCTGATGATATTCTTCTTGTTGATAAGACTAGAGAGGGAGTTGAAGGTAAACTGGAATTATGAAAATCAACCTTAGAGTCTAAAGGTTTTCGCTTGAGTATATATAAAATTGAATATATTGAGTGTAATTTTAATAGTAATAAGCCTAGTGAGGGGATTACGACTTTGGGAGATCAAGTCATTAATAAGAATAAACGTTTTAGATATTTTGGATCTATTGTTCAGAGTGATGGTGAAATAGATGGGGATATTATCAGCAGAATTCAAGTTGGATGGTTTAAGTGGAGGAATGCATTAGGCTTGTGTGATAAAAAAGTCCCCCTCAAACTTAAGGGAAAGTTCTATAAGATGGTGGTGAGACCTACAATGTTTTATGGTGTCGAATGTTGGCCATTAAAAGAGAAGCATAATACTAAGTTAATTGTTGCAGAGATGAGGATGCTCAGGTGGATGAGTGGCTTTACCCTTAGAGATATGATACGAAATGAGCATATACATGAAAAGGTTGGAGTAGCTCCAGTGGAAGACAAGATTAGAGAGAGTCATCTTAGATGGTTTGGTCACATAAAACATCGGCCTTCCAATGACCCGGTTAGAAAAGTAGAGGTAGACCTAAAAAAAATTGGTTAGAAATTATTAGAAATGATCTTTCTTTATTAGATTTAAACGTAAATATGACTTTTAACAAGACATAATGGAGAAAAAGAATTCATGCAGCCGAACTCATATAGCAGGACAAATACTTGATGATGATGATGATGTTGTTGTTGTAATAAACCAAATAAAAAAGGGAGACATGAAGAATGTTTGCACTAAAATCATCTCATGTACAACTGTCCAACTAACCCATATTAAAACTAAAACAACAACAAACAAGTACAACTCTCTATGTACAACTGTCCATCTAACCCAGATTAAAAAATAAATCTGTTTCAAAAGAACTTTTTTACATCAGCCATGTTCCAAGATGTTTGATTAGCTATTTTAATTTTTGCTGAGAGCTGCTTTTTTTTTGTCAAAATTTTCCAATCCTGTGTTATCAAAACCTAACCGCAAACTATATTCTTCTCTGCTAGTATGCTTTATATTTTGTTCAGGATAACTTTTATGCTTTCAAAATAAAATTGCCCCAAATGAAGCTTTAAATAACAGAATTTGATTGATGAAGTGTTATTGATTGCAGTTGCTCTTGCTTACTCTCTCCAAATCATTGATGAAAACGAGATTCCAGTGACTGAAAACGATGTTTCTGTAGATGCTCTCGTCTCACCATCAGGTCTTATTCCGATCACTCCTGCATCATTTAAGGATTTGTGATTAACGCCTCTCTTGTCACCCAATCTACTAATTAATAACATCACATATTGGTTAGAGTTGTATTTATTGATCTACTAAATTTTATATTAATATTGCTGTTACTTCAAATTTAATAAATTTTTTATTTTGGTAGTAAGAGTGACTTTTTATAATTTATTAGTATTATTTTTTAGAGAGAGACAGTATAAAAAACAAGTGTAGTTTCAAAGTAGTTTGAGCTATAAACTACCAATTTGAAAGGGGCAAAGGATTGATGTTCCATGCAACTTTCATGATAAAAAAATGAAGAAATTGATTCATAATTTAGCTTTTTTTGGTTTTCATAAGCCTTCACTTTAATTAAAAAGATCTATGACTTAGGTTTCTTTTAAGTCAATTTTCTAATTGCTTTGTGTAGTAGCTTTTTAGCATAATTTTTTTTTAAAAATAATGAAAAATAGTGGTAAAAAATTATCCTAAACAAATCATTAATGACTAGAGAAATTTGTTTTATCAAAGGGTTCGTTTGAGATAACTTTATTACTATTTTTAAAGCAATTTTTTAATTTAAAAAACTTAAAATTTTTTTAAAAAATTGTATTATAAACAACAACAACAACAACAACATCAAGCCTTTATCTCACTACGAGGAGGTTCATTGGAACATATAATTAGAAGGAATTTTTTTGTTCCAAGATATTTTGATTAAAAGTAAATTTAAACGAGCTTTAATTTTTTTTTTAAATTTATTCTATGATAAGAATAATATATGTGTAATTAATTAAAATGTATAACATATTTATCTCAATATAATTTTAAAATTTTAAAAACTCTAATTAAATTTTTTGATATATTAACCCACTTGTTTTAACAATTTTAATGGTTAACAAAAAATTTTTTTAAAAAAAATTAACATATTTTTTATTGGGTGATTTACATATTTAGCATTTAAAAGTATTAAATATATTAGTTGCTCTCATGTCATTATAAACTTTAAAAAAAATAATAATAATAACTACAAAAGTTTCATTACATAAACCCTATCTACTAAATGCATTCGTGATAAAAATGAAGGCATAATCAATCTTCAAAGAGAGTTCTATTATTTTAGTAACTTTATATTCCTTTCTCCTATAGCAAATTTAAAATAAAAGCTATTGTGAGAACCATCATCGTTATTTGTTAGGGCGTCATTTGCTTTCTCACAGTTATAGTTATGACAAGAAAGTGAGTTTTCATAGGGACAAGAAAGGAAGGAAAGAACATCTTTGTATTCTTAGAATAATTAGTTTTCGTTTGGGATATTTTTTTTATTACTTTTTAAAGTAATTTTTTAATACAAAATTTTTTAGTTCAAGAAATATATGTTCTAAAAAATTGATTTAGAAAACTATAAGAAACCTGCCTCATACGAAGCCTTAATGAGAAGAGAGATAATTTATCGGTCATTGGAAATGGTATAGGACTATTTGGTTGGATGATTTCAAAACGGATGTTTCAGGAATTTCTAGTAATTGAAATAAATGTATTTTAGAAATATGAGAGTTGTTTGATTGAATATGAATCAAATATATTGATTTTTATATATTTGTTATAATATATAAACGAACTTTCTCTTTCTAAAAACACTTTCTTTCTCTCTCCTCCTAAGCTAGCTAGATGATCAAATGACCGAGAAAATGGATTTTAAAATAAATAAAAATTCTCAGAATGGCCTAGCACTGCGACACTCAATTATGGGCGCTATGTCGCTCAAAAATCTGCAATAACCAAAGAGCTGGCGCTACAATATCACTTTCTGATGCCTTGACTGAGTGCAGCGCCGTGATACTCGAACATAATGACATTGGGGAGCTCCAAAAGTTACATTCTTAGATTTTTCTGAAATTCACATACAACACTTAGGACTCATTTTAGAACACACCCAATCATTTTCAAATATTAAAACACTTCATAGCATATGCAGATGGGTTCAAACCTAAAATTTCAAATCTTTACTATTTACTTTTTTCGAGTTATTACGCAATGTTCCTTAGACATTTAAACGGCTTTATAACATTATAATTGAGTGAGCTAGGGCTTATCATATTCTTCTCATTAAGATATTCATTTTGATTATTAGCACGGGAGATTCGAAGATTGGTCCCTCAAATAGCATCATAAAATTTTCAATTATGTTTCAAGTACATGACTTGGGCTAATTTGGACAAAAATTAGAACACTTTTGTCGTTGTTTGTTTGAGCCAATCAAAATATTTATTTCAACTATAAATTTTTTTAAATTAGAGTTTGTACAATAATAATTTGATTTTGATTTAAAAAAGTTGAAAAAAAAATAAGGGAGTGCTTGGTTTAAAATTGTTTCCTAAGGGAGGATATGCTAAGCAAAATAAGAGTTAAGCCTTGTTGCGGGCTAGAATATATGAGGCGATAGAGTTAGAGTTTTTCATCTTAGCGTTGTACGGATATCTAGCACACAAATAGGGAATTCATAGAAGATTTTTTACGTAGAAGCCCCCGTAAAGGGAAAAATCACGGGGCTACACCTGGTTGAAATGATTCCACTAATATTTGAATATATTACAAATGATTGATTCGTCCTCAAAATTGAGAACAATTGGATTACAATAGTCAACCATCAGGTTGAAATCTAGTGACGAATGGAGATCAATTATAAGTTTGGTGACGTTCGGTGTCCGGGCAGAAGTTTCTTGTCAGTCAGTAATCAAATTGAAGTTCGACATTACTCGTTGGATGGGTAGAAGTCTGGCTTTGGTCGGTGGCCGGGCAAAAATTCAATGTCAGTCGGTGATTGGGAGGAAATCCAATGTCAGTTGACAGCCGGATGCAAGGGCGGAACTAGCCATAATTTTCAGGGGGGCAAACGTATAAGTAACTGTTCGCATATATGTCGGGGGTCTAAGGGGGCAGCGCCCCCTAGCGGGGTTCGACCTGCCCGGTCAGGTTGCAGAGTCAAGGGGCAGCGCCCCTGCGAGAGTTTTCTAGGGAAACGCCCCCGAAACAAATTTTGATTTAATATTTTTCTTTGTATTTGGTTCATCATTCTCTAACAATAATACATCTACACAATGTATTTAATTATATTGGGGGAATTTGCCTAATGACCATAGTATTTTAACATTTAGGGGGGGGGGGGGGGAAATTTCCCCGTATATATTAAATGAATACAAATAAGTTTTATTAGAACAAATGCCAATCTATTTATAACTATTAATTATAATGATGGTTCACAGACCTCTTGAAATCATTAAGGCGAAGAAAGAGTGATCTTATTGTAGTTTTCATGTAATTAAGGGGGTCATAATACATAATATTTATGATGATTAGAATATTTTATTTCAGATAGAGTAGGGGTGTCATTTTAGGTGGATAGGTCGGATTCAACCTGATTTGAAGTTGACCCTGGGGTCAAAAATATTATTTTTCAACTTGACTTATTATTATATAAATAGTATTTTTTTTTTTTAAATCAACATGACTCATTTAACCTAAAAACGATCCGTTAACTAAAAAATGGCCTATTTAACTAGAATCCAACTCATTTAACTCTAATGATAATCAAGTCAATTTGAATTTTTAGATCAACTCAACCTACAAATTAATCGGATCAAATCTAATTCAAATTTTTTGAGTTCGATTTGATTGAAGTTATCGGAAAGGATTATTTATTGAAACTCATAAGATTGAGTGGTAGCTAAAATTTTTTTGTCATATTCATATTTGATTAAGATTATCAGAAAGGATTATTTATTGACACTAATATTCAAATTTTATTGACACTCATAGGACTAACTTGAGCTTGGCAGACCTATTCAATTGCAAGTTCGAGCTCATATCAAATTTATATTGTGAGGTTAATTAAAGTCAAGCTCAACTCACATCAATAATAGTAGGCTCGAGCACGACTCATGAGTTTGAGTCAAAATATCAAAATCCTCGTGACAGGAGTTCGTTGGCATCAATAGGGGATTGTTGGAGATGGTTGTAATAGACCAAAATTTGGCTATCGAGATATTACTTGCTTTGACCTAGCGGCTTTACGATTTTATCTTATTGGTGTAACTTTACGGGAGATCAAATATCCTAAGAGTGCTCCTACTATGCAAGTACTACTAATTTTGAAATTTCTAATGAAATTCCTACTGGTACACCAAAAGCCACCTCAACATTATAACATGTTTTTTTCTTGAGGGATTTCACAATGGCATTGACAAAAATTGATAGGAGAAGCATGGACGTCGCAACGAGAGCTTGCTAGAGATGACATTGATGGTAGTTGACTTGCGACAAGGGAAGCGAGGACGATGCAACTCGCGATGGGAGCTCAATATAAAAGGCATCAATGGAACCAGTAGCAATTCATGACGAGAGATCGGGAGAAAGCAAATGGACCAATGAGATTTGGAGAAGAGGAGTTATTTTTAAAAATTTCAAACATATTTTAATTTAAAGCCCTAAATTAATTAACTGAGAATAATCAGGAATTAGGAATCAAGAAAAACCAAAAACAAAAACAAAAAAATTAAAAGTAAAAAATAAATAAAAAGGAATTAAGAATCAAGAAGTCTCGTAAGCTAACAACCAGAACCTCATCAAGCTCAAATTATAGCTCATACAATAAAGAAGCTATAATCCAAGTTCAAGCTTGAGCTCGCGGATTGAAAAGCTTAAATATCAAGCTTGTCAGCAAGTCAAGTTCAAGCGGACTCGTGAGTCAAGTCGAGTCACTTACACCCCTTTATTTAGATCACATGATAATTTCACTTGTTATTTAATAATTTTTGGTAAATATTAATCGAACACGGAAATCATTTAATCTTTTTATTAATTAACTCAAAATTGTAAATCAAAACGATACTGAAGTGATACTAAACTGCTCCCAAAAAATTCAATTTAGTCCATTTAATTTTAAATTTTATCTTTTAGGTTGATTTGCAAATCATGAATTGTTTGAAAGCAAATAAAGTTTTATATAGCGTGTGGTATTAGTTATAATGCTGGATAGAAAGCGTAATTTAGAGAAAAAGGCCATTATGACCAAAGATTAGTTGAACTGTCATAGTACTATTTTGTTTGTGCTAATCTTTGCTTTAAGAAATAAAGAATCAGATTGGTTTGAGTCAATCACTAAAGTATACTATAATCAATCATTTTGATTTTAACACTGACTTCGTTTGAGATAATTTTTTTATTACTTTATAATACTTCTGTAAATAAAGTAATTTTTTAAAAGCTATTGTAGAAACTAATTTATTTGTATAATTTTTTTTTAAACTGTAAAAAATTAATGATCAAATAAAATTTATGGCTGCGATTTGAAAAACAAAATAGAAAGAAAGCTGTCCCAAAAACTAAGGCTTCGTTTGAGACAACTTGCTTACTGCTTTTGAAAGAAACTTTTTAGGAAGCTACTTTATGAGAAAGTTGTCCCAAATGAAGTCTAACCCTCAATTTACACAATTATAAAATAATTATAGAGAAAAAAAAATTCTATTGGATTTCTATCATTAATATCAATTAAATTTATTTATATTATATCTTAAAGCTCAATTTCATTTTTTTTTATTTCGTCGAGAAATATAAACAAAAGTTTTGTTCATACAAAAATACTCTCAACTTTGATCATAAATTACTCATTTAAAGTCTATTATAACAAACATTAATTCAAGAGTAAAACTTGATCACAATTGAAACAATATTCAAGAAAAAAATTTAAATTTGTTCTAATTATGTTCAAATCTTATTCTAACTATACACAAAGGTTTCAAATAAAGTTCGAACAAGGATTAGGCGGTGTGGGTTCGAATAAGGTTTGAACAAGGTTAATTCATGATTTGAACAATATTTGAACATAATCTTAATTCGTTAGATGCAACAAAATGTGATTAAATAGCTTGAACAAGATTAATCTATTTTTCTTGGACGGCCACCTTAGGCTTCACCGATGCGGGTAACATGATAACTTGCTTGATTTTATCATGAATTTCATGTGTCCTCTTTTTCTTGTTAAATAAATATTTTCAATTCATGCAGCTAACAATTCTTATTGAATATAGAGCTTAGAATATAAGCTACAATAACTATCACCTTAGTCCCAAAAGGCAACCAACAAAAGTTTATATGAGTGATTCATAACATCAAGTTTTTTATATGTAAATGTTCTCTCTCAAAAATTAAAACTACCATTAAGAACACCATCAGAGTTATGCAATTCAAATTGACTAATAGGGTAGAATCAATAGATAATCAAGTTTTGCACTCTTTAGAAGTTTCTCCAATTCATTCTTAATTTTCTTTGCTAAAATAATTATGTGTTCATTGTAACATTGTGTCATTGCTTGTTGTTTGATAGAAAATTCTCTATCAAATTTAAGAAAAAATTCAATAAGATGGTAGTGAGACCTGTCATGCTTTATGGTGCAGAATGTTGGTCATTAAAATAGAAGCATAATATTAGAGTGTTGCAGTGATGAGGATGCTCAGGTGGATGAGTGGCTTTACTCTTAATGACAATATATGAAATGAGCATATATATGAAAAGGTTGGAGTAGCTCCAGTGAAAGATATGATTAGAGAGATCAGTCGTCTTAGATGTTTTGGTCACATAAAACATCAGCCTTCTTCTGATGACCCAATTAGAAAAGTAGATGTATTAGATTTGACTTATGTTAAGAAATGTATATATAAACTTAAAAAAAGACTTGGTTAGAAAATATTAGAAATGACATTTCTTTGTTAGATGTAGATGAGAATTTGACTCTTAATAAGTCACAGTGGAGAAAAAGGATTTATGTAGCCGAACCTACATAGTGGGATGAAGGCTTTTACTTGTTGTTGTTGTTGTTGTTATTGTTATAACATTGTCTCAATTGAAAAACAAATTTTTCATTGTGTGCCCCAAAATCTTTTACAATGTAACTCCTGAAAAGTAGCATGCACTCTTCATAACATTGTTAAAGCTCTCTAAAATATTAATTGTAATCAAGTTTTATTGATTTTCAGGGAATATATCATGAGCTTATCACTCAAAGCCAACCTCAATCTCAAGATGAGATGATATAGCTAGATTCCTGAGAAATTTGTTAAAAAGTGCTTAAAGAACTAAACTCTCATGTAAGTCTTGAAAATCAAGTGATCTTTCTCATGTTAGTTATCGATTTTAAACTTCATCGCGATATTTATTATCATATGATTAGTTTAAGTTCCGTGGTATACCTTTGAAAAAAAAAAATTATAAAGCATTTATATCAGAGACAAACATTAAATTTTTCATCATGCCTATTTATTATTTTATGTATATCAAAGACCAACATTAAAAGTTTCAATATGCCTGCTTATTAAATGCAACCATAATAATACTATAATTATTTGCTAGTTTCTATCATTTTGTATATAAAATCGTGATCAGCTCTTCATAGAAAGTACTTTTAAATACCATCAATCATCTACAACAAATGCTCAACCAACTTATTTTGGATTCAATTAATATATAATTATAAAAAAATGCGAAAATCATACGGCGGCCTCGCTACGATTTTCCCACCGCTGTACGGCGAAAAATCCTAACCAAAAAACGAACGGCCGCAATAATCGAATTTTTTTCCCTCCTAGGAATCCTGCAGGCATCAACCAAGCGATTCTCCCACGCGTTCTGCTTCTCCCACCGCAGTGCCTATTTCCATAGTAAGATATTTGTTTATTTATTATTATTTTTATAAAATATCACACTGATTATTTATACATTATAATTTTAATCTCAAAATATAATATTGCTCAAATTTAGATTTCTTTAAGATGACTTTATTAGTATTTTTTAAAGAAAAATTTTAGTACAAAAATTTAATTTTAGTCATAGAATATATTATTACTTTAATTTAGACTTTATTTGGGACGACTTTCTTATTGCTTCTTAAAATAATTTTTTAGTATAAAATTTTTAATTTTTGCAGTAAAAATTTTTTTAAGAAGAAATAAGAAAGCCGTTCAAACGAAACCTTAATCCCTCAATTGTACAAAATTAATAAAAAATGATACATTTTTTAACTAAATTCAGATCAATTTTATACTGTCGAGATACTAAATTTTGATCAATTATATGTTACAATTTCAATAGAGGATCTATTTTGAATCAATTTTATATCCTGAGGGTCAACGTGATATTCTGCGATTAAATTTACTATACATGAATAATCTGGAGAGTACTTTGATTTTTTTTTTTAATTTTATATAAATAAATGTATTTGAATAGTAACTTTTTTAGTAAGAGCACTATGAAAATATTTATTTAATAATAATTTAATGTTTTTTTTTCACAAATTATTTATATTGTTACACTGTTTTTTTTTTATATTTTATGTGTTTTAATTATGAATATGATGAAAATAATGTAAATAATTAGATAAAGATATTAAAAATATAATGTTATTATTTAATACTATTTTAGAATTAAAATATAAAATAAATGCATAATATAAAGAAATAAATTTTAATTTTATTAATTATAAAATGTTTAAAGAAATGTTTCTAGTTTTTATTAATTTTGATGAGAAAGTATTAAAATATTAATTAATAATGATGTGATAATTTATTTAAAATATTACTATTTTATATATAATTAATAAGTCTGAATTAAGATTTTATTTTAGTTTAAATTTGATAAAAATTAATAAAAATTTTTAATTTTAGAATTTGTATAAATTTATCTCAAATGATAAAAAGACCAAATTTGAAGTATAACTATAATTCAACTCAAGTGCTAAATCAACGCGATCTTCTGAACTCGCCACGTGGCATATGTCTAGTTGCGGTGGGTATAATAGGCCAGGGCCCCGTGGACTGGCTGTCGACCCTCTCTCTCTCTCCTTTTCTGAGCGGAAAGCGGGGGATTGTTGAAAGTGGATTAGAACGACTTTTCTAGTTTGCTCTCCCATCTCAGCTTCCATTCGGTAGATGGGATCTTGCGTTTCGAGGCCGGAGGGCTGCGTTGGAGGCCGACGCCGGCCGGCGGCGGATGGGCAACGTCGGCATCGTAGGCGGCGGGTTATACGGAGAAGGGTTAAGTCCATGGAGACGATCCAGGAGTTGGAGGTTGAAGGAACCCTCGTGGACGGACATAATCGACTTTGCTATGCTAGTCCCACTATCCAAGGTTCGGCGCCGTGTTTGTTCCTCTCTTCATGGGTTTTTTTTTCATCAGTTTTTTGGAAGAATGGGAGACGCTTGACCGATCTGGATGATTTCGGAGAATTCAATCATTTTGGTTGGTGCATTGACATGCTTTTTTGTTGCTTATTCCGCGTCGATTGCGTTAATTTTGGTGGTTCATTCTGCCGAATTAATCTTGTGATGATGTTGGTGTTCTGATCTTGTTCATGTTAGTTGTAGCTCTTGGATTCCAAGAGAAGTAAGCGGATTAATCTGCTCCTAAGTTGCGTTACGGAACTGCTTCGTGTTTGTGATTTTAGGCATTTCTGTGTCTGTATTTAGCGAAGGTTTTTGTGATCGAGTGGATTTCTCTGTTCTTGAATTCATGGTGGTGTGAGTTATTATGACATAGTTTATGAGACGATCTCCTGGTCCATGTGTTTCAGTTGACAGTTTGGTATCTATGGATTTTAGAGTTCTTTCTTTATTAGTCTTTCTATGAATGCTGTGTTTAGTTGGACTTTGTGGTTTTTTTAGGTTTCAACTATTTTTAGGTTTGCTTGAATCTTTATTGGAATAATTATGACTCTGCCAGGAAGCGTAGAGGATATATGGTTTGACTCGATTACTGTCATAGAGTCAGACTGTGACGATGATTTTCAGAGCGTTCAGGAAGGTGAAGTAATACGATGATTTTTGCATGAAATTTTGAGAACGTAGTTACTAGTTCTCTTGTTGTAGATATGTGCTATTTAACCTTAGGGACAGATGATTTCGTTTTCTTATTTGCAGATGATTTCTCTTTTAGTGGATTGGAAGAGGCAGTTTCAGGTTTTCCACCTTCCAAAGATGCTCAGCATGGAGATGGAAATTTTAATTTTGTGGTGCCTGTCCTTGGTCATCATCAGAAGAGCCTGATTTCAGGGGAATCTTTCGTAGGAAATTCAGAGCATAGCGGCAAAGTTCAACCTGTTGTCCCTGTGACTAGTTTGAAAAGTTTTGTTAGTCATGGTGATGTATCTAGCCTCTCTGTGGATGAAGCTTCTCATAGGGATGGAGGAGAAGGAATTTTGGATAATTGTGGCATGTTACATAATAATTGCTTGCCCTTCCTTGTCACCACTCTACCAACTCTTGAAAAGAGAAAATCGATTAGTTCTAGTCCACCAAACTCGGCCAAAAAGGCAACACTGAAGCTCTCCTTCAAGCGTAAGTCTGGGGATGGGCATCCTTCTGCATCTGCATGTGAGTTCTTCCTTCTTTTTCCTGAGATCATTTAAATTACGTAACTATTATTAGAACACCATATAGCATACACCTGGAGTTTTACATGTTTGCTCAGCGCATAATTATTTGCAAGGAAATTAAGTTCATTGATGCACTTTCATTTTATTATATACTTTTTTAAAATCATATTAATCAAAGAAGTAATTAGCTTTTATTTTAACCATAACTAGAATAATTTACTGTAAAGATACAATCGGCCACTGTCAGTTTGCAACCTTGAACCTTATAATCATTTTATGATTGTCGGCTTCAATAGTTTATTCTTGCTTTTTTTTTTCAAAATTAATAATTTTAGATTTCATTAATACCATTTTTAGCAATAATTATTTTGTACTAACTATTTTTGATATCTAATATCATTTTAAAAGGGTATTGAGTGTTTTTATTTATATTGTCTCATCTCCTTATTTGTTCTCATTTTGTGCTTGTTTTATTTCTTCAAAAGTAAAATTGTTTGGTTACACTGCTTATTTCATAATTCACAAGGTTTCTATGCTTTTAAACCTTGAAAATCACCAATTAAACTGTTTAAAAATTTGAAGGAATTTTTATCTATTCCTGACCGTGAAGAATAAAAAAAAAACTGTCTTTGATTTTCTATTGGTAAATGAATCAATAAATGGAATGGATGCCATATAAATATTAGAATTCATGAAAGACAAGAATTGGAGAGCTTAAAAAGTTTTTATCTATTCCGCAAACGCCAGCTAGCACACACCAAAAACACATTCATGCTTGCTTGTGCTATCCTTTGTGAGGAAATATCTTTAGTCTTCACCGCAATGAACTATTTATCTTATTATATAAATTTTCTAATCATATTCTAAAACAGTAAGTGGAATTTGTTTTATCCATAATTTCTTGAATACTTTACAACAATACAAAAAATATTTAATTTGTTTAACTATTCCTTAAACATCATGTAACGCATACCAAAAGCTCATACTTGTTAATGTTTGCTTATTGTGCTATTCTATGAGAGGAAATTATGTTCACCGCCATATATTATGTCTAATTATATACTTTCCAGTTATATTCTAGAACAGTTGGTAGAGTTTGTTTTAACTGTATTTACATGAATACTTTACTGGAGTAATACTATAAGGGCATTCAAGTTGTTTCCTTGAATCTTATAGTTTATTTGGCTTTTGCCAGATTTAATGGTTTATTCTGGCTTATGTTTTAAGAAGTATAATTTTAAATTTTAGAGATATCATTTTACTAATAAATCTTCTGTGATGTACTAAGTGGGTTTCTAATCGTATTTTAGAGGTACGTGGAAGTGTTATTTTATTCTGTCATCCATTTGTTTTGTTCTCTTTTGGTGTTTATTTGTTTTCACTTGAAATAAAGTGTGGTTCCACTACATATTTCCTAATTCACAAGATTGATCTTTTTTTTGAAATATGTGAAATCACTTATTAAGTGCTTTAATGTTTGGAGTAGAGCTTTATGTTTCTGACAAAATAAAACAAAAGAAAAAATGAAATTTTTTATACTCAAAATCTGTTTACTGAAAGGAAAAAAAAATCAAGTAATATGAATGAATCTAAACATGCTTTGGTCACTGTAGTTTTGGATGTCATCACAGTAAATCTTTGTTAGTTTACTATTCTGTAATTCTCTCTTTTTCTTACTCTCTTGATTTTTTGGAACATCTTATATTCAACATCAAGCGTGAGTTATCAAGAAAACATGCATTGGAAGAGCATGCAAAAGCAATTAGTAGAAAAGAATAATAATTTTGCTGATTGTAGATATTTGGATAGCTTTACCTATTTCATATTAGACAGGGCGAGTTCTTGGGACGGCAGTATTTTAGGAATCAGGATCCAATCAAATTGATCTTTCAGTCATGCTCTGCTAAACCAGCCCTGCTAATTTTTTCAGCATAGAAACGATACAGGACCATTTTTCCTATTTACAATCTGCTTGACCCTTACAATTGCAATATACAGGTATATCCACTGAAATCACATCAGAGTGGCTGAAATACTTGACAAAAACGCATTTTATCCACCAAAACAAATGAAAAACTGGCAATTACTATCATTCTGGGGTATAAAATGAATACATGTCAATTGAGAAACATTATTAAGCACTACATAAGCTCACCATATAATCAACAATAAAAAATTTTGTTGGACCGCTAGTAAATGGAGCACTCTCAAATTCTTGAATAACCTTCCATGGTACCCTAAATTAAGATAAAAATAATAATATGAAGGGGTGAGTACTAAACTGAATAGATAATCAAACTTATATAAGTAAAACTACATGCACAAGGGACGTGTGCATATTTGCAAGGGAAGTCTATTTGCTTGAGGAAGTGTATATACAACACAGGGAACCCATCAAGAGAGCATCAGCTGTAATGGGAGGCATCATAAAAAAGGCTAAGCACTGATTCAACAATAACAACAACGTGCCATCAATATAATATTACGATCAAACTGTATGAAAATGTGTAACAAGGAGTAATAGGTTTGTCTTTCTGAAGTCACTGATGGGGAGGTTGTCATCTCCAGAGAATTGGCCTCTTCCAATGTGAGTCGGTTGGCTCCAATAATAAACTCATCCATTCAGAACTTAGAGGGTGTACCCTTTGGTCTACGCACATGAACTCATCTCTGTCGTAACATAATACCATTGACACTGCTTATGCAAATCACAGGATAGTATCTTATTCAATTTAGTTATATTGTCTTATTAATTATGTAGATTTCCAATATGCGGCAAATATATAATAAATTTAAATGCTTGCAATATGTTGATGTTTAATGTTTCAAAGGAATTGATAAACAATTTGGTAGGTCTGCATTGTTATGAAGTGATAAATAAACTATGCAATCATGAAATGATCATACCAAATCTAAAGAAGAACTTTATTAGCAATAGCACGCGTAAATAAACTTATACTATTAAGTCTGAAATTACTTATCGCAACAGTTAAAAAAAGGTGATCCATTGGAACTTACACAATGCAGCCTAGAGTTATAATAACTTCTCCTTCATGTGTTCTGCACTGAGACTTACAAAGGGCTGTAAACACTAAGAAGCATCTTCAAGCAATCATGCAGTATTATGGTAGAAAGAGATGATGGTTTTCCTTAAGTATCTAAACGAAGATTTGAGCCTCATAGAGTAGTTTCTGTTTGTGGAAGTCTTTCTATGAAGTTGCATAGGAAAACAAATTTTCTAGGAGCAGCGAGTGAGGCAGGCTGAAATGCCTGTATGCATCACTAGTGGTTCTTAAAAACGGGGCAGGCAATGCTAGAGAATATCTTATTGGCAGACAATTTTCTTGTCCCACTTTGTCTCGTGTATTTTTGATCTTCTCAGCATCCTTTCCTCAAGGAATAAAATGATAATTCTGATAAGTGAATTGAATTTCCCAGTAAAATTACATGCATTTGGTGTACTTCATTATTTACTTCGATCAAAACATTAGACACTTCACCATATCCATTATTATTATTATTATTATTATTACTCAGAGTTGTTATCTAAGCTTAATCAGCAACCCCAAAAATGTCGAGCATCTGCTGGGATCTATAGATGCTTTAAAGAAGTAGGTCCTATTCTTTACTGGGGTTATGAACCTAGCTTAAATATGACAAAATAGCATCCTCTTTTTTTTTTTTTAGGGATGCAACATAAGTTAACTAACTAGGTGAATTGACATTCTGGAGTATTGATTGAAGTGGCAATCTGTAAAATTGATTTTCTAAAAAAAAAATGTGATCATATCCACAAAATATTTGAACCTAGTGGCTTAAACTACAGGTTGTCATTATGTATGAAGGCATATGTACTAATTATCTTAAATTTGATTATATATACTCGCATTATTATCTTCGAGATGTTGATCATATGATATAAATTTATGCACATGTGATAGAAACTGTCAGCCTTTTTTTTCTAGTCTCGTTCTGCATTGTTTGAAGAAGCTCCATCAAAATTCACCAGAATATACCCTGCAGGCTGTGCTCAATGTGTTATAATTTACTTTGTTCACATATTGTTCTGTCTTGAAGCAATACCTTGCATTAGTAACCTATTCCTAAAGCATCGGTCTTTCAAATATTTACCCTTTATCAATTTACGTCTGCAGATTTTAATTGAGTCTTCGGTTAACTTTCTGTTTTGTAATTTTTTGTCTTCATTCCTATTTCAGCTTTTACGAAGCCTTTCCTTGAAAGACCACTGGCAGGCTGTCAGGTTCCATTCTGCCCGCTGGAGAAGAAAATGTTTGATTGCTGGTCACAAATTGACCCTAATACATTTAGGGTTCGTGGAAAAAATTATTTAAGGTGCTGCTAAAGTTGCACTGCTTGATTGATTATTTGATTTCTTAAGCTGCTTCTATATTCATAATTACTGAGCATATTTTCTTGACAGGGATAAAAGGAAAGATTTTGCCCCGAACTTTGCAGCATATTATCCATTTGGTGTTGATGTCTTCTTGTCTCAACAAAAAATAAGTCACATTAGCCGCTTTGTGGAGCTTCCCAATGTCAATCCATCTGGCAAGTTACCACCTATCCTTGTAGTCAACGTCCAGGTAATTTCTTTCTCTAGAAATGATCTACATGCAGATTTCTATTACTTCTTTTCCAGAGTTTATTTTTAAGTATTTGGCTTCTTTTGATGATCTTGTACTGGACTGGATGCATTTTGACTCTCTAGTGAAACTTCTTATTATCACCCTCATCGTTCTCCGGCTACCCAACGCTTAGGGGGGTAGCTTTATTAATACTATTGATTTATTATTGTTGAGTGTGATATGAGATCGAAACTCTAGTGTGCATTTTTTTTATTACTAGTACTTGTTTGCACATCTTTTTCATTCATTAAGAATGACGCTCCTTTTTTTTTCCTCCACTATATGTTTCTTATAGCCGTGAAATGCATTGTTGATATTCTTCATCTAGCTGTTCCCATGTTTAATTGAATTGGCAGATTTCTTTTTCATTTTCAGATTCCACTGTATCCTGCGGCAATCTTTCAAAGTGAAACTGATGGGGAAGGAATAAGCTTTGTCCTATATTTTAAGCTCTCTGAGAAGTACCAAGAACTTCCAACCTACTTCCAGGACCACATTAGAGTAAGTTGTGATATGTGATTCTGCAGCTTACTACTGTTCTTGCACGGGGGTATTTTACAACGCCCAACTGTATTTATCAATTGTTTTGCTAATTTAAGCTGTCATCACTTTGGGGAACTGTGATAATCGTCTCAATTCAGTGCTGCAAATTGTTTACTGGTGCATTTTTTGTAGGGGGCATTTACGGGTTACATTTTTCATGAGTAGTTTTGAATCGTTATTATAAACTAATGTTTACCCCAAAATTGGAGCAATCAGGTTTTTAATCGATTGGGTGTAAAAGGTTAATATAAACTTTATAGAAAGAGTGACATTAAATCCCAAAGTTAACATACAAAATGAAAGACTGACATTAACGAGCAAAATATTTATAATTTCAATTTCTCAGGGGCAGGATGCTCAATGTTTGACCACCAACGTTCTCGGATTTAGCAACCCTGTCCACCCAGTAAATTGTAGTTCGTCAATCCTGAGTTATGGATCATTCAGCTAGACTAGTTTTATATATAGATGGAGTATGCATGTCTTGTACATGATTTCATGGGCATGCATCCTCTCTCTATATGCTAAAAACTTTCTGATAGACCGGTCCAGGAGGGACCGATCAGGTCTAGAAGGGACTAACTCTGTTCTAGTCCTAGCAGAAGCCTGGTTCGCTTGTTCCGCCCCAGTAGCTGTCCATCCCCCTTGGGGTGGGTTCCACAGCATAACACAAAGAGAGGGGATGGCAAGGAGAGATTTTGAAATTAGGAGGGTTGTTTTGGTATTTTGCATTTTATTGCATGCTTTAAGTAGTTGGTTTTTCCCTAGGGTTAGGGTTATATATTTTTTTATTGTATTGAATTTTCCTAAGCAGAGAAAGGGACTCTAGTGGGCGGCTAGGGTTTGGGAGAGCTTTATCTTTCTCTCCAATCGAAGATCCATTATATCTTGTTTGTTTTTTCTTCTTATCATCGATTAAAAAGTTTCTCTTGTGAGATTCTACTTGGATCTTTTTTATTCGCTGTTTTGTGCTCGCTAAAATTCAATTTCAGTCAAGAGTTTCTCTTATTTCTAGAAGCATTTCATATCACTTTCCCTAGATATTTGGTTTTTTTTAAAATTAAATGCACCCATAAAGCATGCCTCGCCTTTTGCCAGCTTGTGGTATTATCAGTAAGGTATTAAAATATGCTAAAATAGTATTGCTGTATGATTGGTATTTCTTTATTTATGTTTTGCCATGAAGTGTGCTCCATTCTACAATTGATACCAAGTCTATTGCAGATGTTTGTCATTGGGTGTATTTATCACTTATCTTTAACACTTTTTTATCTATCTGTAAAAATGTAGAAGTTAATTGACGATGAAGTGGAAAAGGTCAAAGGCTTCCCTATGGATACAATTGCTCCATTTCGTGAAAGGTTGAAAATACTTGGTCGAGTAGCCAATGTTGAGGATCTTCCACTGAGTGCAGCAGAAAGAAAGCTTATGAATGCATATAATGAGAAGCCAGTCCTTTCTCGGCCTCAGCATGACTTTTACTTGGTAAGTTTACTAAAAGAAGTCATGTATTATTTCTCTTTTAACATTTTAAGTTTGTTAGCTGAGTAATTTCTGAATATTAAGAGCATAATATTTTGTCTTGTGAAATTGCCTGACTGCATCGATTCACAAATTGATTTGAGAGGCTAGTTAGGCAACAAATGATTGCATCTCCATTAAGTTCTAGGAACTAGAGAACACAAGATATTTTTGTTTGTTGGGATTTTGAATAAGCCCGAACCTGTACAGTAGAGCTTAATGCACGAACGGCAGAATTTCCTACTAGGTTCTCCTTTTCGTAATATAATGGAAAATCAAGTTTGTTGATGCATTTGCTATTCTTACGTAAATACAAATCTAGAATATCATTCTTTGGACGCACATATATTGAAAACAGTTTTTTATTTTTATTTTTGGAATTTTGTTAACAAGGTTGATAAATTTTGGGTTTCGGCTCAATAATTTTGTTAAGTTATGGCACATATATAAAATTAAGAGGCTTTAGGATAAATCTAAATTTATTTTAATTACTTCATAATTTGTTGCAAATTCTTTTATCTGAAAATGGGTTTCATTTTGAATCCTACTTCCATAAATTCCTATAAATATGGTTCTTTTAGCTGCCATATAAATGCATGGGACATCATGCAAACATTTTGCGAGGAGAGACTGAATCCAATGGCCAATTCCTATTCTAATAACAGGGTAGGGGAGTGAAATTTTAAGGCTTTTAGGCTAATTTTGGGTTTTTGAGAGAGGTTTTGAGTTAAAACGGGAGAGAAAGAGGAAAGAAACGCAGAAGATTTTTTGTTTTGCAATTGCATACTATCTTGAAGCGCAGAAAGTGCGTTTGACTTGGAAAATTTTCTACGATTTCACGGACATGCGGAAAGGTACCCTTTTGAGGAACTTTCAATTGGGTTATTTCTGTTTTTTTGTTAAACTTTCTTCATTTATTTATTTTGAAGGAGTTTTGGTTTTTATTTTGCATTGAGATTGGTGTATTTGAGTTTGGGTAAGTGTGTTTTCTTGGTCCTTTTCATGCTGATCTCCAAGGGAGTTTGATGAAATCTGCCCTTTTCACCTTGCTTTGGATATTGTCTCATGACTTCTCCATTTGTTTAGGGTTTTGATTTAGTGCATCTCCTTTTTTTGTCTCAAATTTGACTTACATGAAATTCGGTCTTGGTTTTGTTTGCAACCATGCTATGATTTGTGTCTCCCCCTACAATAATTTATTGGTTGATGCTATTTTTTATTTTTTATTTGGTACCATATTTTATTATTATTTATTTATTTATATGACACGATAGTTCTTTGATATCCGCCTGAGAATGATTGATATTAGATGTTAAGTTTACAATTGATTGTAAACTTCATGCTAAAGCTAATGAACTGAGTTCAAATTTGAATTTTTTTCCTATTTTCTAACTGATCGTATGTGTTTGACACTAAACATCTATTCCTTCCTCACAGGGAGAAAATTACCTTGAAATTGACTTGGATATGCATCGGTTCGGTTACATCTCAAGGAAAGGATTTGAAACATTCTTTGATAGATTGAAGTTGTGCGTGTTGGATGTGGGCTTAACAATTCAGGTAAAATATTCAGTAGACACTATTAATCATCCAAGTCGTAGGTTAAAAGACATTCACTTATCCATTTTGATTATGAATCATCAGGGGAACAAACCTGAAGAACTGCCAGAACACCTGCTGTCCTGTATACGTCTGAGTGGAATCGACTATACCAACTACCATCAGCTTGCAGTCCATTAAATTATTCTCAAGGAACCAATTCATTTCTATCTCCTTATCCCAGATTACAATATTGACATCACTTGCAATATAATTATATTATAAAAATCATTCTACATAAGAGGATTTTCAGGTCGTGTAGATAGATAGCTTCAGTTGATATGACGGCATTTTTAGGGCACACAAATGTTCAGCAGCGATCACAGTCATGACAAAGTCCATCGCACCGTTGCCTGCTTCTGTGGGTTTAAAAAAAAGTAAAGAAAGTCTTTTTATCTTGTCAATAACTTTGTTTTTTTCTGTTGCAATAAGAAGAGGGAAAGAGAAATGAGGAGGAACATTTGATTTTATTGCTTCTTGTATTATGTGATATTTATTCTTCATTATAAATGCAAATACGCCATTGTTTGCCTGTGCCCATCTCATCTTGACATGGTGTGCAATGAAATAGATGGTAAGTTATTGAAAATCAGCAGCAACTGCGTCAAGTCTACATGGTTTTATTCATTAAATTTATAACAACTTTCTGTGCTAGTGATGTTTGTTGTACCCTTCGAGACTTCGAGTTCAAATTTTCTTATACATCTCAAATTCTTATTTTGTTCTTTTGCTGTCCTATCGTGCATGCCATCACAGAAATGATATCTGCAGATTAATTATTATGTGTGGATGCCGAACCTCGTATAGAGATTAATCAAAATGTATCACATCATCCATGTGCTTAGTATCATGACTCGATATTGCTCAGTACTGCTGATGTTGGGCATTCTGGTTAGTCTATAAATGAAATTTTGCATCTGATCACTGCACAAAATAATTTCTAAGTATGCAGGTATTCCTGATGGCTTGATAAATTTGAGCATTCTCCTTGCGAAATTAAATGTGTTGATTTAATTGGGCATTTCTCCTATCATTATTTGTTAAAAGTTGCTTTAATATTCCTTTTTTTGGTCTACACTTTTGAAAGCACTTTTCTAAAAGTAGGTCGGCAAATATCCAAACCATTACCAACCTACTATCCAACCCTATTAAAATGAAATATTATTTTTATTCTTTACAAAATATTATATTTTGTTCTTTAAATTTTTATCAAATTCTTAATTTTTATAAATAAATTTATGCTGATAATATCTATTTTATAATAAACTGTCCATCAGTTATAATGCTATAGAAAAAAATAATAA